AGCTTTTCCCTGCAAACTCAAGGGCTGCAAATTCCTCAGAGACCAAACCCAAATAAAGCCCTATGAAACAGTGGCATTGTGATTTTTCGGATTCTGAGTTTCAAGGGAATCACAGGATTCCAGAAGCTGGGACTTTCAGCAAGGAAAACACCATTAAGAGCAGCAAGAAATAGTAAATTGGCAATTCCTCATGGCCTGGAGGGATGAGTTATCCAGGGCAGCTCTGTGTCCACCGTGCCCCACATTGCAAATTGATGTCTGTGCTGCCTGCTCTCACCCCAATTAATGCTTCCCAATTAACTTTTTACTCTCAGCAATCAAGCTCCTGATATTCTCCCTTTCTTGGCCCACCTCCTAGATTTTTCCAGCATATTTGGAGATGAATCTCCCTCTGTCCTTTCTTGGTCATGTTTCAAATATCTTTTAGAGGCCGTTTTCTATTAGCACTCTGTTCCCAACCAGGATCTGCAGCTCCTCTGAAACGAGGGAGTGAGAAAGGCAGGATATATTTGATTTCTGATGGAGAGATGGGGAGGAGGAAGGTGATATTATTTACTAACCAAACCCACTGTTTATTAATGAGGAGAGAATTATTTTTAAAAAGCCAAAACCAGCAAACTGTGACAGCTCCTCCACCACCCACCCCAAAAACTGAGCCCCATCTGGTCCTCCCAGGGGGTTTCTTGTCGTGGGTGGACTGCAAGGAGAACCGTGCTCCCCTCCTCCCTCCTGGCTATTCCATCAGGCCACCAAACAACCCATGTCCATGGAAAGTGAGGAGCTGCAGCTGCTTTGGGTGCTGGAAATGAGATCTGGGGCTGGCACCTTGCACAGATTGCTACAGAGAGACACAATTCTGTCAGGAGACACCAGATCATCCCAGGCTGGGGCTGGCACRGGCGACTCATCATGCTTTAATTAAAACTTGGAAGCACGAGCCGACCTCCTGCCCTCGGCAGGGCCGGGATGGGAACGGGGAACTCGCTCTCCAGGCATAATGGATAACCCTGCCAAAGGCTGGGCAGGGCTGGAGAGCTGCACTGAGCCATTAAGGGTATTAAAATATTAACCTCRCTGGGAGGCTGGGCAGCAGAGCCACAGGGAATGTCCCAGTGCCACCTGGAGAGGAGAGGGGCGAGGGCAGAGCAGGGAGGAGCAGCATCACTCAGCACAGAGCCCTGGTGGGGGTGGCAGCTCATGAGAGGCTGATGTGATGCTCTGAGCTGGGAGCAAACTTCACCTTCATCTGGAGGGGCTGGAGGAGCGTGGCTCAGTGCAGGCAGGTTCTGCCCAGCCCCTGGCACTGGCAGCCTTTTAATTTTGGGAGCCAAGAGCAGTCATTAATTACCTGCCTTCTGCAGTGACACGAGGCATGGAGCAGGTGACATCCCACCCACACTGCTCTGACACTGACCCCCTGCCCATCCTTCCCTGCCCACTGCACAGGGCTCTGCTCCCAAATTCCAGCCCTGGAGGAATGCTCACAAGGCAGGGGACACTCAGGGAGCATCTGGGCACCACAGCAGGGAGCCCAGGGGGGACAGCCATCCCCAGCATCGCCCGGGTGCCACATCAGACCAGCCCTGACAGATGAATCACTTTCCCTGCAGGAACAAGCTGCCTGCAAAAGAACAGCTCTTGTTCTCTCTCCATCTCCCCGTGCTGGGTGTCAGTGACTGAGCCCTGGATCTGTTGTGACAGGGCAGGGTGGACATGGACAGGCTCTGCAGATGTGCTGAGCCTGGGGAAGSTGCTGGTGGCCCTGGCTGGACCCAGGTGACAAAATCCCAGCTCCTGGTGTACTGGGAGGATGGGCAATCCATCACTGACCCGAATCAGATGCCAGGTCCCATTAAAAAGGGCATTTTGGAGCGAGAGACCTCATTTCTAATGCCAGATCCTCTCCACAGCACTTGCATATCTGTGAACACAGGCACACTCTCTTTCYTCAGCTCTCCAGCCCTCCAAGGACACCTCCAGCCACCCAAATGATGGAGTTATACATGAAACACACTCCCTTCCCTGCCAGGACCCACTGAACACACACCCAGCATCCATAAAACCCAATTTTCTCTCAATTCCTCATGCCACAAATGTCCAGCACAGCAGGGCTCCCCTCCTGACAATGGTCCCATGGGCCCCACCTCACCCAGCCCCATCTCACATCTTACCACCTGCACTCACCTGGATTCCCTCAAAACCCCTTCTCTCCACCCTCCCCCTTTGTTCTAGGTCTCATTAATGAAGCAGATCAACTGACAAATTCCACTGGGGGTTATTTATTCATGAAATACCAACACCATGCAATTCTCAAAGCCTCCAAAGCACTCATCCCCGAATAAGCTCTGGAGCTTTGCAGTGGCTCTTCTCTCCAGCTCATCCTGAAGGGGATTAKTGGGTGTTATCCAACTCTGCTGCCCCTTTTTATTGCCTGCTAATGGTTAAAGAATTCAGTGCCTTACAAAGTTCACCATCGATGAGAAAAATGAAGGGAAGACCGTGAGCTGGGGACTAAGCCAGTGCCATCTGCTCCCTAAGTTGGGTTTGGAGAGGGATCAGGGTGGAAATTTGAGGTTCAGGAGTTTCCAGAGTCAGGGCCCACCAGSAGCACCTGCAGCTTCACCCAAATCCACCTGGCACAGCCCAGCCAGTAGGGTTCATGCCCAGCACCTGGAGCTGCCTTCCCCTTCCACTGAACAGGGAATTCCAGAGCTGCTGCACTTGCAAACCAGAGCAGAGCAGTTCGCACCCAGAATCTGTATTTTCAGCCCAGCTGCTGCGTGCCTGAGCAATTCTGAGCAGCTCCCACACGATGCCCAGCAGAATTCATCACAGAAATGGGCATACAGGGTGATCGACACACGGATCCCAGCTGAGGGTGCACTGCAAAACTCATAACCACATTTTTTATGAATACATATCACCAGTAAAAGTTACCAAAAAAAACCCCCAAACCCAAGCTGCAGGTGCAAAGCCCAGATTGAGAAGGCAAGGATTGATCAGCAGGCAGGGTTGGGAATTTGGCTGCAAGCGG